AACACAGTGAAAGGCACAGGAATTAGAGAAAGAAGCTGAGAACTAGATGAGGTGTGAATTGACAGGGGCAGCTGAGACAGTCAACAGGGCTGAATCTTCTCACTGATATGTAGGAAGAAACAAATAATATAGACATAAACTTTATGTTTAGATCCAGAGAGAGCTATGCTGCCAGAAGTATTCACATTAATGGCTTAAATGACTGAAAAGATAGTTTGTCATTCACAATAAAAACGTGGAGAAAGAGAGGTCTGTGAGAGAAAAAAAAAAAAAAAAAAAAAAAAAAAAAAAAAAAAAACACCTGAATGTATTGTGCCAAGTAAGCTGTGGTAATTTCCTCAAAGAGGTGGCAAAAAGGTACTGATTTAGATCGGGTGAAGAAAGACAGATCAGCAATGTAGATGTAGAACCATGAGTCACCAGAATAAGATATGAGTTAATGTCAAGTTCATGGATAAGACAACTAGAGACAGAGCTCATGGCTGTGAGAACTTCGGGGGATGCATGACAGATCATGATTAAAAGCTGCTTGACAAGAATCCGCTTCTTTAAGAGAAATAGCCAAGAATTAAAAGGAAAATCAACCACACACACCAAAAAAAAAAAAAAAAAGGCTATATGAAAACCTTACTTTAGAAATGATGGAATGACTTACACTGTCAGAAGATACTGACTGAGAGGTCAAGGAAGATTAAGGTGGAATAGAAGTGTGCTGGAATTTGAGTAGGAGGAAGGTGTCCTTCACTTGTAAGAGCACTTTCAGTGATTGGTAGAAATGCACAAATTTGTAAATTGTTGGGTTATCAAGGAGGAAAACAAGGCTGTGCCAGAAATAAGGCTGTGGTAGCAGAAAATACGTTCAGTTAAACTGAAAAGAAAAAAGTTTAAAAAGCTTTGGTTGATCACTAAGGGGGCAAGAGGCACTGCAAAGGATAGCTAACTCTATGGATGAAACACCACTTAGAAATTAGACAAAGTGCTATGTCATCATTACAATTAATCACTGAGACCTTATTAGCATTAAGAAACCTTGTGTGTTCTTCTAAACAGAAAATCAGGATAAACAAGTTACTAGGAAATCTTTTACCATAACGTGAGGGCAGAGAATTAATTTCTCTCCTCTGTCTGCTGTTTATGACTTGTTTGAACAGACACAGACTGATTTATCACATCTCTGACCCACTGTAGCCAGCAACCTGCCATAAGCCTTTGCTTATAAGGCATAAACATTTGTTGCTCCACCTTCACGTTCTGTGACTGAGGAATATTTTTACATTGGCTCAGCTTCCTCCTTTTTGTGGCCTAGCAGACGTATACAACTGGAGATTTCTTCTTCTAACCTCAGAAAATACAGAACATGTTTTTCTAGGGACTGATTTTTCATGCTATCTGGATTTTTTTATTTTTTTTTCTGGGGCAATTGTGAAGCCAAAAACCTTAACAATGAGCAATCTACTTTTCTAGATTGGTCAGGGCTGTGATTAGACCATTGGTACTGCGGTTAGCTTTAAAAGCTTTCCTCAGCAGTCTTTTCAAGTTTGGTGCTGAGTTTGCCTACTGTCCAGAAGAGGCCTACATCTCCTCCTATCACTGATTAATGAACAAAACTAAATTTTCACAGGTGAAGATCTCACTTTAATGAAGTCATGTAAGTGAATGAGTGGAAGAAGATGTAAGTGATACATACTGGTGGTGTGGCGTGACCATGAAACTCTTGAGCCATAGAATGACACAAATGCTCCATAGAGAGAGCAGTGGAATGAATTTCCTGGTTTTGTATAGCAGAACAGGAAGGAAATTGAGAAAGGAACTGGAGGAAAATGGCAATAAGGTGAAGAAAAGAAAAGCAGAAAGAGGCTGGAGAAGAAAGGCTTAGGCTGTCATTACCCATCTATTGATACGGTCCATTTAAATAATTTCTGCTGCTGCTTTCCACTCCTCCTACCATCTTGACACAACATCTGCTGTGCCAAAATGAATGTTTGGGCAATCATGCAATGAATTGTACAGGAATCTGGTTGATATTGGTTACTTCAGCACATAACTCAAATTAAAAAAGCAGGAATAAAGAGGATAGAAACAGGGAACACTTAAGCTGACACTGCTGCCAAGAGGACTATGGGATCATAGCCTGAAGGAAAGGCATAGAAAAGGGACTGGATAAATGAACAGAAGGGCTGGGAGCAAGGGCTAAGACTGGTGATGCTGCATCTAATTTAATGTAATTTCAGACTACGGAAAGGTCAGTCACATCCCCACCCCAAAACCCCTTTCTCCAAATCTAGCAATAATGTATCTGAAGTTATAGTAATTTCATGAACTCATAGAGAAGTCTTTCTTTGTTTATTTTCCTCTGCTGGGTCACTTCAGTGACTCAGTTCACCTTGGAGCAGCCATAAGATCATCAGATCCAATGAAAATTAAATGGCCGGATGAGGGAGAGAAGAACTGCCTCTTTGCAATTAGATTTTACATCACACACCAAGAGGGGCTAAAACTAGTCAGTAAAGGTTTAAAATAATACATTACAGAAAAGGTTAAACACTGAGTGAAGTTAAAAGAGAAAGAGTGTGAGTGAAAGTATAAGAAACAAGAGATCACAAAAGAAAAGAGTCAAGACGGGATATAGCAAGGTATTTCTATCTCTATATATTCAGTCTTCCAGAGGTGAAAGCTAAAATAAGCAAGGAAAGTCTAGAGAACACAGAACCATCTGATTCATTAAAACAGGAACAAGTAAAAGAAACTATGGAAAACAAAATGAATGGGAAAAACAAAACAAAAAAAAAAAAAAAAACACACAAACAAAACAAAACAAAGAGTTGGAGACAATGTATTTGTGTTTATTAGCTGCAGATAGAGAACTACCTGAAAAACTATGATCCATAGAAATGCCTAGAAAAGCCTCAGCTGCCTGACCTATAGAGGAAAAAAAATCCCCCAACCCAGGGGACAGCAGAATGAAGAGAACAGGGAATAAAGAGAATGAAATCAAGCTGATTTGGGAATGTTACTTTTTAGAGGTTTTCAAAGTGGGAGTCCTCACCTAGACTATGAATTCCAAATTCAAATTCTTTATAAACTTTTCTCCTTTCCTGCATCTCTTTTAATATACACAGTCATATCTACACAGGTACTTTTATTTGAGCAACGCTAATGCTATTCATTATCTCCTCTGGGAGTTTGCTGCAGTATCTTTAATAATGCCTAAGCATTATTGTTCTTCTTCCTGGACTCCTGTTTGACACTGTATTTTTCAGTAAAAATATTTTTTAACTTTGCAACTTCTACATCTTCACTTAGAAAACTGTATGCCCTCAAAAGACTGACAAAAACCTTCATTACTAATTTTCAGCTCTTTAGAGTAAAGATACCAATGAAGTCAAAGCCATGATTTCATGATACAGGGGACAGAGTACTACTTTCAGCTGCCTTTCCACCACTGCTTGTAGGGCCATACTGTGAAACAAAACAGTGAATCAATCTGAGTTAGAATTAATTTTCTTTCTTTTAAATCAGTTATCCAGTCCCTTGTGTCATCTCATCAAGACTGAAACATGGTGAGGAAATAGCGTGGGAACACAACCAAGCAGCTAGGGGAAGGTGAAGCCATGGGAATTATTAAAACATGCCTACTGCCAAAGCCTCCCTAAAATGTAAACACAATCTTAATAGGGAGGAGGAAAAGAAAGAGAGAGATGATACAGATTTGTTTGTTACTAAAGTAATTTTCCAGTGTAAGTAAACTCCTAGCTAGAACAATATGCACTGATGAAGCAAGGGACTTGGGAGGAAATATGTATAGGTATGCATACATACAAACAACATCATAGGCACTAATTGAGGTTGCTTGGGGTTTTTGTTTTGTTTTGTTTTCATAGTTTTGCACCTGAAACTTTTCCTTTCACTATTTTCAATGCAATGACCTCTATATTTTAAAGTGATTGTTTTTACAAGGAAAGCGGTTCAATTGCCAAGAGCCATTACTATCTCCCACATGTCATTTGCTAACAAGATTCATGGCTTTTTTGCCATTGGATTTCACAGCTGCAGCGGGGTGTTAAAACTCAACAGTCTTTGGATTTACATCAGATTCTGGAGGGGAAAATACACCCATATTTATAGATACTATAATCTTGTCATCTGCCCAGTTTCTCCTTTCTATTTTTGTTTGTTTGTTTGTTTAATTATATTTTAAGCCAGGCTGCTGCTTCTTTGCTACCCTTCAGGTGTATGAAAAAAGCAGGCAAGGGAAACGCAATCCCTCTCACAAGTCCAGCGTCATGCAGTGGGAAAAACAATCGGAGGAAGATTTCAGGAAGCTCAGGGACGAAGCACGTTCTGCTGCCCTCCCACAGAAGCAAACCTAAAGTCTCTGCGCTACTTAAAAGCTGTGGAGGAATGTATTAACACAGAGGGACTGTTTGTTTGATTGTTTCTTTTCCATACGGTTGCAAAAATGCCCTGAGAAAACACAGTGAAAGAACTACCAGACTGTAAGCGATAAGGTGTCGGAAAATGTGTTTCGAAGGAGGAGACTCTGGCAGATTGCACATCTCTCCGGTACACAGCCCTGCTGACGCCACGGGAGCGCGCTGCGGGTGCTTTCCTCACACCGGGGAACTTCCCGGGCGGGCCGGCGCCCCCAGCCGCGGTTCCGCGAGCGGAGCTGCCGTGGTTTCACTTTGCGCAGCAGCACCCGGGGCTGCCCGGCACGCACACTGCCGGCCCGGCACAACTCCCAGCCGTGTTGTCAGGGAACTTTCTCCTTCCCTCCCTCCTTCCCTCCCTCCACACGCACAAGGAGCGTGAGGCAACAGCAATCCCCAGGGACCAATGTTTTTATTATTTTCCTCAGAATTGTGTTAAAACACCACCGCCACCACACGCCCCCTCCCCCCCCCCCCCCCCCCCCACACACACACAGGCCCTGGGCGAGCCCAAGCGGCGGCGGCGGGCAGGGGCGCTCTCTGCCGGTGCAGCCGCTCACAGGCCGGGCGGCGGCCGCCTCGTCCCGCCCCTCCCTCCCCGTCCCGCCCGAGCCCTTGGTGTCGTCCGGAAGCGGCGGGCGGCGCCGTGGGGGCGGACAATAGCGGGGCGCCGGCAGCGGCAGCGGGCGGGCGGCGGTGTTGGAGCGCGGCGGTGAGCGGGGCTGGGCTGGGCTGGGCTGGGCTGAGGGGGGGCGCGGGGCTGGGGGTGCGGGCTCGGGGCTCGCCCCGTGGGGGTCCCGGCCCCGTCGCGGCCGCGCCCCCGCCCCGCGGAAGAAACTTGTCCGGGACGCTGCCTGCCGGGGGGGCGGGGGTTGTGCTGGAGCCGTTGTTTCGCTTGGCGGCCGTTAACGGCTCGCGTGTCGCCCCCCCCCGCCTCAGGGCCAGGATGAACGAGGAGCAGTTCGTCAGCATCGACCTGGACGATGACAACGTGTGCAGCGTCTGCAAGCTGGGCACCGAGAGGGAGACGCTGTCCTTCTGCCACGTCTGCTTCGAGCTCAACATCGAAGGTAGCGGGGGGGCTCCCGGGGCTTTACCTCCTGGTGCTCAGCCCCGGGGTCTGTTCTGATGGAAAGCAGCGCCTGTGCTGCCTTTATTCAAAGTTTGTTGCTCAGTGATCAGAGTGGGTTATATATGAAACTTGCTCTGTGAATTTCTAAGCAAAGTTGTTCTTGGAAGCAGATCAGTTTCTCCTTTTTAAGTAAAAATAATCAGAGGTCTGTTTAGCGCTTTCATAAGACGGTGATACACGCAGCATGATAAAGACTGGGTTCATAGTCGAACTTCCTTAAAATTTGCAAAGTGTAAAGTAGGAGTTTGGGCTCTTAAAGACTGATCTTGTAAGCGTTGTCACTGGCCTCCAGAACAGTGTGGATTGAGTAAAAACTTGTATGCTTCTAGAGCATGAAGCCTCATTTTCCCAACAGATTTGCCTATCTTGCTCCTTGTTTTCATGTCTGAAGTAAGTGGTTGGGCATGCATGAACAGAATAGAACAGAGATTTCCTTTTTTAAGTCAGATAAGGTGTGTTTTGTTTTTTCTTTTAATGCATAAACATGGTCTCTCAATTTTTTTTTGGACAACGAAGTAAGTTGTTCCTCCTTAAACAACTAGTTCTTTTGGCGTTTGCCAGTTCTGTATGCGGGTGACCACCTAGAGTAATCTAAACTGGTACGAGGCAATTGAATGTGAAGATCTTAAAGCTGTAATGTGAATATTCTCATTTCTTGGTGACAGATAACAGGATATGGTTTGTTTGATATATGTGAGAGTACACTGAAAGTCTGATTGAGTCTTTCTGAGGGGGAGTACTGTGAGATATAAGCACTGTGCCCAGTGAGTGGTCTAGTTTCTTATTCTGAAACACAAGTATAAGACCGTCTGGAATATAGGGGACTATAAGTGTTATGTTCAATATACTGCTTCTATTGAGCATCTTACTTTAAATGCATGTGTAAGTAATAGAATTGTGTTATCACCTCACAGAAACTTGTAAAATATATTAGCAAATTGGAATTCCTTTCAAATATTGACCCTGTACTTTGTTTTTTAATTAAAAGTTGGGGGTTTAATTAAAAAAAAATCTTTAAGGCATTTACTAATAGAGGTGATATATCTTTTAATATGAACAATGCATTCATGCTTGAGTAGTAATCTTGCTTTTGTTTAGAAGAGACATGCTTGTATACCTCCACTTTATCATAGAAAACTCTGAGCAGCTGTCTAACCTAAACCAAGACGTCAGTGTGCTTTAATTTGCTTCCTGTTTTCAAATGATAGGTTTGCACCAGAGTTAAGACGCTTCGTTCTGTAGACTCTTTAATTAGGAAAAAAAATGTGTTGCTATTGTTAGAATTAAGTAAGCCAGTTACATTCAGAATCTATTTTTGTAGTGGAAGTGGTGAAAAAAATAAAACAGAGTGCATTAAACATTGCTGGATGGTTATTTGTGCTCTGTTTGAAAAGCTGTGGACTTGTCAAAGTTTCTTGTAATGGATATTACTTTACAAAATGATCATGTTTTTTAGCTGGAACCACGTTATATTTATTTTCCAGAATTCTAAATAGACTTGATAATAGCAAAGGCGTAGTGTGTGCAGCAGTATAATCTGCATAATCTCCCAGATTTTCACTTAATTTAAAAAAAGACAACTTGAACAGAATACTGATGAAAGCTCACCTGAAACTGAGGCCATTACGTTCTTAATTTATTTTGCATAGTTAAAGAAAAGTATTAATTGCAGTATTAATTGGTCATTGCAGCATCAAAATACCACAATTTCTGATATTCTGTCTTATGTGCTCTTCTTTGAAAAGATGTACTGTTACCTTTATAGGGAGAGGAGGCTTAAGATCAGCAGAGGTTGTGTAAGTGACTTTAGAAAGAATCTTCAAAAGAATTTTTAGCTGAACATTGTATGAGCCAGTTCTTTACCATATCCAGGGTCACATTCCTTCTACTTCTGGCACATCTGTTACATTCATCTCCTGTATTTTCCTATAACAAAGGCAATGATTTATATGTATCTAGAAGAGCAGTATTTTGAGAGCCCTGGGTAGGGAATGAAACAGAAAATTCATAGTAACTCCGAGTATTATACTGCATATTTTCATACCAACTTGCTGCTTATATTGTAACAAACTTCACATAATGACTTGTTGCACAGAATCAACTGACTGTAAGTTGTGTTAACTCTGTAAATGTGCTATCTATCCCACACATAAGAATAAGTGTCATTCTTGCTAATAGTTCTTATTTGAAATCATATTTAAAAATGCAGGAAATTAAAACGTGTTTATTTTTTTTGTTGTTCAGGTATGTTTTTAAGTTATTCAGGAAGTCAAACAGGCTATTTCATGTTCATGCAACAGCTAGGATACTGCTTAAGGATTGCTCCTTTTTTGTATTGGTGTGCATCATGGGATCTTGCAGGAGCTGAAGTATTCCTGCTGTTTGCAGCAGCCAGTGTTAATTTCTGTATAATGTATGAAATTCTGGAAGTCATTTCCCCAGTTTCCTTGTTCAAAAGGATTTAGTATTCTAGTGCTTTAGTGAAACCAATGAGAAAATTCTGTTTCCATTCCTGCCGGCATCTGGTTCTTTAAACCTGTCTGTGGTAAATCCAGATACATGAAACGAACCTAAGCCAAAACTTAGCTGTTTAAACCCCATCTAAAGCAGACTTTCTCAAAGGTATATAAACAAAATGTACTGTACAACAAATTGCACAGTCTCCAAAACAAAATATAGTACATAGCTGCACATTATACATGTAGATAACTACTGGTGTAAGTCTGTGTTTTGGACATCTGTGAGTAAAAGTTGTAAAAGTTTGTGTGTAGATGGTGATGTCCTTGATTGTCCTGGTTAAGTAAGATGAGTATTTAGAAACAAATCTAAGAACATCCCAGTGTGTAATGACTGAATAGGCTTCCTCCTGGATCAGTACTGTGATGTGTCTCAGCCTTTACTTTCTTGATGCTTTGTGGTTTTTGTAACCTTTATTATGGTTGGACAATAGCTTAGTAATGATGCATAATTGAAATACACATTCAAGTTCTTTTTCCAGTCCTTTTATACAGACTCCTGCACAGAAAGCTTAGTCTGTGGTCTGCATTAGCTAAGTAATCATTGAGTTACTGAACTAGGAAAGCTAGCTATGTTACTATGAAAATTCTGGTTTTCGATCAGAAATATTGTCTCTGTAATAAATTGTTTTTGAATACTAGATTTATAATGTTTAAATGAGACAAAATTGTAGTTTAGCCTAAGATTTGGTGGGATAGTTAATTCACATAAACTGTTGGTTTGATTGTAGCTTGTAGTTCAGCTGTGATGTCTGTCATTGAATTTATTCAGGAGTGGTGTGTATGGATTGTAGGGCCCATTTCTCTAAAGTTAACTGAAAGATTGTTAGCAAAATAAGGAGAAAAGGGAGAACGGGCATACAGAATAAACAGAAAGCCAAGATGCAGGTTTAAACAGTCCCCTATTACTTGTCATCAACTATTGCTGAGGAACAGGGAGAGATGGCTGTAGAGGAGAGTTTAGCAATGCTTCTGCTGTTTTTCAGTCTAAAGAATGGGGGGGACAAAAGGGCAGTGTTTCTGTCTCTTGTGGTTGCCCTTTCAGCTCATTTAGTTAGAGGATTCATGCTCAGGGAAATCGAATGGATTAAAATACACGTAAATACCTCATTTATGCCCAAACTAGCCAGAAGGATGATTATCAGGTGACTTAGCTTGTTAGGATACTAACGTAATTGCTTAGACTTTAAGATACATAAAGCCAATGCTGTGGGAAACAAAGCTGGTTCTGTACAGCAGTTTTAAAGTTGTAGATAGAGTTTAGAATATATAGGTAGTGTGGGTCTGCTGGAATTGGATGTTGGCTTCTGTATGCCCTGTACAGGCAAAGTGAACGTCAGGGATTGTTATGTACTGTTTTGTTTTTCTGAGTAGGTGCAAGAGTAGTAATCAACCATTGGAACAGGAAATGGTTTAAATTCATGTTTAAGTAGATTGCGTAAGCCAGGAAATGATGTGTTGTATCTCAGTTTGAGACCAGTTTCTTCTCAAGAACCATTTCATTGTAGCATGCAAAAGTGATTAAGTGGACCATGATAGTAAATATATAATAGTAACACCAGATCTGAAGTTCGAACTGCAGACTGGATTATGGTGGTGGAATACAGACACACTTATTTCTTGTGTTTGTATATAGATATAAACAAAAACACCTAGTAATGGTGTCCCTACAATCTGCTTTGAGATGCCAATTGCAGGAGTTCCTGTTTCCAGGTTTCCATGTGACAATACCTGTTTGTGCTGTGCTTCTCCTGCTAGAAGGATGTAGCCATCTAGTCCACATTTTGCACAGCACGGAGAGGTGCCTGGAGTGATGGGCAGTCGTGCTGCCTGTGGGGCTGCTCGGGGTTTTTCAGATACCTCTACATGGTAACATGTCATGCAACACAGATGTGTCCCTCATTGATGCACGCTCTGTGATCCTCCAAACAATGTGTGGGGAAATCCCAGCTTTGGAAGCTTAATACCCAAATGTATTTGTGCAGACATCACACTCAGCTCTGAAAATTTCAAACTTTGTAATAATCACAGTTTAATTTTCATTATTTGTCATAAATGATGTATTTATCTTATCCTGTTTTATGCTAGCATGTCATAAGGCAGGATTGTTTAAAAAGTGTCAGTTTGGGGTTTGTAAGAGAAATGAAACTATAATGGATGGGAAAAATCTGTTTGTTTGAGCTGACTTTTATGTACTGTTTTGCTTATCTGTCGCTGCTGACTATGGTAACATCTTGGAGAATACTAACTGACAAGTAAACCGGCTTGCTTCCTTTTGTGTTTAGAGGTGAAAAACAGCTGAATTGTAAATGACAGGAGTTGAAACAAAAATCTGTATTGCAGGCCTTCTAATATGAAAGAGAATGTAGGGAGTAGATGACACAGTAGTTACACTGGTTAATGTTAAGTATAGTTACGTTTC